GCGGGACTGTTTAATTGCAGTGTAAATGGTCAGGCATGTGCTGGAGCCTTGGCTCTAAGATCCTGTTAGAAACACCATGGGGTCCTGTCACCTAACTGCAGTGTAAACACACCCTACTAGTCTTCATAGCCTAGAGCAGGGGTTCCAAACTGGGGAGAGTGAAGAAATTCCAGGGGGGGCATGAGGCGATCCAGCCTTCCCCTCCCCCATCAAGTTTTGCTGCTATTGGTGGGGGGGGGGGGGAAGGGGGATCAGGCCTGAGGGTGTTTCAAAAATCAAAAAGGGGGGCGTGATGCCAGAAAGCTTGGGAACCACTGGCCTAGAGGATAATCAGCCTGAGTGAAAGCCTGGTTTGTAATGTGTGCCATGCTATTTTATACTGCCTAGTATGGGAAAATGCAAGATGGACACCTATTTTCCTTTCAAGCTAACAACCAAATACTATGCATTAGCCTAACTTTTATTCCAGTATTTGGTTTATTTAATTAAATAAGATAAATAACACATACCTTAGGAAAGGTGGTTTCATAATGCCATTCATATCAGGTTTCTGCAAAAGAAAAGATATTATCACTTACACAATTGATATCAAATTCTGAAAATTGAGAAAAGTAAGCTACCTGCTTGCAGTTGTTTTATGGCCAAGAGTATATTTATGTTCAAAAACTATATTCACAACATTCACTAATTCACATTATTTGGCTGCACAATGAAATACTCAGCCACTAGGAAGGTACAGCACAGTTCAAATACAGAGGGGTAATTTATAGAGAAAAAAGCCAGTAAGACCAATGCTTGATTATCAAACTTAGAAAATAAAATTAAAAAACAAATCCATGTAATACTAATAAATGATGAAGACCCACAGAGATCTTCAATGTAAAATATTACCCTTCTATTGTTTTCAAAGATAAAGGCTGCATGTAATTGCTAACTGAGCACATTATAGATCAAAACAGTTATAAAAACACACTGGATCAAAACCAGTAATCAAATAAGAAGTAAAAGGAGATTCTAAAATAGGCTGAGAGAAATCAACTGATCTGACAGGTTAAGAATCCCAAGATGCTTGGTTCTGCCTTGAGGGCAGGGGACTTGACTTGATGATCTCTCTAAGTCCCTTCCAGGTCTAGTGTTCTATGATATCTACTGCATCATATTACAATTCATTCTTCTAAACTTAGGAGCTTCATTACTTGAAGCAGTCATTGACATAATACACAATTTGTAAAATGCTAATGATTACAATAAGACACTAATGTATGAACAGCTGGTCTAGACCTGCCCAGCTGTAAGAATGCAAATGCATATTTTAGATGTTATTTATTCAGTGTGAAATCATGTAAAAAGTAAAGACATCACTATTTAATAGCAGGTTTGCAATTAAAAGCATCAGGTCCCCAAATTCTGATCTATTTGCACTCTAGTCTGGCTACATATACTTCATGTAGCTATACTGCAGATTTACAATGGAATAGATTCAGAATCAGCCCCTTTCAACTACTCTTGCACTGAACAAAATATTTTTACATGCTGCTTTGCTTTCTGAACTATCTGTAATACTTTGATTCAATAAAAAAGGAAATTATTTGAATATGCATACCTTTACTATTTTATTACGATTAACTTACATATTTAAATATGAGACAAAATATTACTAGATAGCTAAAACGATCTGTTGTACATTAGGGATGTAAAAAGTTGGTTAATAGGTAACCGTGTAACCACTGAAAACCTTAGCAGCTATACATGGTGTGGGCTCTGCAGTATAAAGCTTAAATAAACTTTACACTGCAGCGCCTGCAGCAAAGCCTCCTTGCTGCAAAGAAGCCACCTCATGGGGGACCCTGCCTGTGGTGGGCTCCATGGGATTGAAGCAACCAGACGGGGAGCTGCTCTAGCACTTGCAGTTAACCAGAACCCGTAAACATTACCCATTTAGGGTGATACTTATCAGTTAACCTTTCACATCTTTACTGTACAATTATTTTCCTTCCAAAATACAAACTGCATTGTGAAGTTTAGCTAATTACCCAAAAGATGGCAGTGTTGCACTGCTATGTTATTACAATAGTCAGTTTTACAGCTGATATAAGGAAAGTTATCATAGATGTAACATTTCAGACACATCTGTGTTTACTTGGGACCGTTAAACTAGTTTCTGCTTTATATCACCTACGATGGAGAAAAGCTAGACTAAATTAACTGTATAAATCAAGGCATAAATCAGTTCAATACATTTAACCTGAAAGTAAACAATCATTGCTTCCAACAGTTGTCAACAGAAGAATGAAACAGCAGTTCAAAGATGATGAAAAACTGCAGTTACTAAAATGAAAAATTACTATTTTGTATCTGAATATTAGTAGAATACAATTACAGGAATACATGATTGTCAACCAATACGAGTCCTAATTTGGTTTACGCTAAGTATTTCCCTTGTATGGCTATTTTAGGTGTTCAATTTGTTAAGTATAGGCCTTTCTTGCTACAAGTCTAAGATACATTCCAAAAAAGTGGACTTACAGTGAAACAACTTAAAGCGGGGAATTTTTCCCCATAAGAATTAATAGAAATGGGGGGGATGTGTTCTGGAACAGTCTTAATGTTGCCTTATAAAGACACAAGGTGGGATCAGGATGGGGAAGCAGGTGGAGGATCATCAACAGCTGTCTAAACATCACACACATCCATCACCTCGACAACTGGTGATTCAGCAACACCTGCTGTGTTGGTGTCAATAACTAACAACATCACGACTTCTAGAGGCTCTTCAATGGCTACTGCATGGGTTTTTTTTCTGCGTAATGCCAGAAGGTCCTGGTTGTGCAGCCTTCTCGTTCACAGAAATATAGGTCCTAGATGGCATGCGTTTCCAATACAACCCCTTTTTGTTGGCACTGAAAACATGCTGTGGATTGCAGCCACCTTCTGTGATGATGGTCTTTAGCATTTTGGGAAATGCATCCTTGTCTGCACTCGCAGCCTCTCCCTGCACTCACACATTTTTGAAGCCATATCTTTTCTGGAACCTGTGGCTGGCATTAAAAGTTTCAAGTTCACCAGTTTCCTTCTATTTCTATGCCTTTATACAAGCTTATGGCCTTCTCTTGAAGGTTGATGGCCGTATTCTGTTTATACAGATCATGCAGCCCATTTAGACAACAAGAGTTCCATTTTCTCTATCCTGCCACTTCTATCCTGCCATGTAAGCGTCACAGAAGCATGCTGTGGCACAAGTTTTGCTGTCTCCAAAATCTTCTCACAATTCTTAATAATCATGTGTATGGTCACTGGAGGCAGTGCAAGCACCCTTCCTATTACGGTCTAATACAGAGCTACTCAACTTTGGAAGCCCTGGGAGCCACAATGATACTCACAGCACATGCACGGGCTGCAACTTAAGTGTGGTTGCATATACATGCAAATAGCTTCATTCACACTGACGGACATGAATACAAAGCACTTTCCACAATGCTCCAGTGCTCCTGGCACCTCCTTCCTGGGGGTGAGAAACGCAGACACCCTGTACTCTCTGTTCCAGCCAGCCCGTCTGCTTGAATCTTTCATTGCTCAACCCTGCCTGGGAGACGCCTTGCTGTTGTGGAGCATGCTCTCATGGGAGGCCATGTTCAAAGGATCCCACCCGTGGGCCGCATGTTGAGCTCCACATAAACCCAAACCGCGCCGTGGGCCGCAAACAAATGGGCAGCGGGTCACATGTGGCCCCCAGGCCACATGTTGAGTAGCCCTGGTTTAATATGTCCAACTTCACATCCTGATTAACACTACTCTGATGCCTCTTACACTCACCAATTTTATTTTTAACAACATTTGCACATCCCTTAGGCAGGTGGAAGGACTGCACAACATACAGTAACACAATACTATACAGTATCAATCAGAAATTAAATGTACTGTAAGGATGACACAGCAGGCACGCAGTATCTTTGCAAAAGGTGACTGCACACAACGAAGCATCGACGCTCGGTGTGAATATTCCTGCGTGTCTGCGCAGCACAAGTTGATTGCTTTCTTTGATTTGCATTCAAGCATCTGACTTTTGTTTGAGCGATTTTTTTTTGAGCGATGTAAGATTGGGGAACGGGAGGATTCATAACAAAACAGTTCCTACTTTCATGAAGTACATTAGTGCGGAACCAATGTATATTGGGGCAACTTAAAGTGAGGACCGCCTGTATTTAGGGCTCCATACTCATTTAGGCCCCAGTTTGGCAAGATACTTAACTATGCTGCTAACTTTATATGCATGAGCAGTCCCACTGAAGTCAATGAGATTACTCTTAAAGCTAGGCAAAGTATTTAAATACCATGGCATATCAATGCCCGAATCATGAATTGCCTTTTATTAAACAACCTTACGCCACATCAAAGTGAAGTATTTTAAAAACCTGGGCTGCTATACTAATCCTTCTATATGCAATTGTTCTGTAATGACTTTCACTGTGTGAGGCAGAAAGATTAACTTTCATGCATCAGCTGTAAACCAAGAACACAAGCAAAACCACAGTACCTATGCCACTAAGAGTAACAGCCAAAATACTCTAATGAGTTAAATCGTGCTTCAGGATAAATTGCAATCACACTGTTGTATACAGTATTATACCATCTGAACACTAACTGAATATTGCTGCCTGGTGTTACATGGAGCCTGTGTCCATAACTTCATAGAGAAAGGGGTTTAAAAAACTGTCACAGAAGTGGAAGAGACAAGCAGTAAGTAACTCTGAATTGTGCTCTCCTTTGCCCTGAGCATGTGTAAGCTCTAGGTATGAGCTCCACTTAGTCCTGAGTTTCCTGGGTTCTTTTAGGCAAAGGAGCTGAAGTAGGCAAGGGGTATAGAACACAGCTGGCTTCCCTTCTAATATATGTGGAAGTGATTTCCCTCTACAACACCTATCCCTTCTGGAGTGGAAAGATCAGGGGCAGCAAGTGGGCATTGCAGAAATGTTGCTGCCATCCCTTCGGGGGCACTCCAGACAGCAGCGATGAAGAGCACACCCTCAGGAGCAGTAGAAATCACTTTTCCCTATGTACATGGAGTGCACCTCTCTCCTAAGAGGCTATAAAACCATCTTTCCCTCTTGGGAGAGCATGCAGCTCTGACTTACCAGGAGCCACTATCATTAGGTTTATTAATTTTGAAAAGTCACCTAAACTGGATGATCTCTAAAAGTCACCAGACTTAAATTAACCATATGAAATACTACACAGCATAATGCTGCTGAGACAACTTAACTGATGCAATAATTTAACATAACTATAGTAAGTCACCTCTTTTCCCTGTCACATGGCAAAGAACTCACTGTACTGCTTGCTTAGCAACTTCCACTGTGCTAATAAATCTTTAAAGCATTGCTAACATTATTATAGTCAAAGAACATGTTGATCTAGTAAGACTCACCAGTTAGCCACAGAATAAATGAACCAATATATAATTCTGACATTATATAACTGTTAAGGCTCATTTATTCCAAATCCAAAAATGAAAACGGCAAGTGTTTCATAATATAGGTGCTATTCACATAATTGTTTTGGAAGTCCCTGGATATAATAGTACCTCAGAGTGATAAGTGACTTTGGCAGTGGAGGTTTTCATAACTCTGAAATGAACATTCCAAAGTTCACAATTGAACACTGACTTAAGACAACTGTGAGGGAGAGGAGAAAAAGGGCCCAACACCCCGGGATTAAAGCAAGTCTCTGGGCCTAGCTAGCCCTGCCCCACTTTACCTGCAAGCAATGCCAGGCCTAGATGGAGGAGAAAAGGAAGGAGCCTGGCTCAGTTTGGGGCTGACTAGTGAGGAGGCAGGAACTTGGTTCAGGGATGTGAGGACACAAACCGAAGCCTGCATGCCCAGCAGCCATGGGAACAAGCCAGCCCCCACTCCTACCCTGCTGGGCTGAAAAGGGGAAACCTACTGAGAAATCTCAGCTAAAGGGAATCTGGACTCTTGAGTCATGCCCCAAACTTAAGCACTTGGATAAGGAGTGGCTCAGAGTTCCTGGGCGAGGAACACAAGGGGAAACAGCACCAGCCTTCCCCTCCTTTTCCACTCACTTACTCACAACCTAGCCACTAGGCTGCCAGGCCACAACAGCTTTGAAACTTTACTATGCATAAGAAAAATGTTGCTCTTAGCCATCTTAATTTAAGTGAAACAAGCCCAGAAGCAGTTTCCTTACTTTGTCATTTAAAAAAAAATCCCTGGTTTTTTAGTATTTGCTCCCTTCACTCTCTGCTTCCTGATTACATACTTTCAGTTCCAAGAGAGAAGTGTATGGTTGATTGATCACTTTGAAATTCTGAGGTTCTACTGTGACTGGTTTACAAACAGCCCCCACAAGTAAAATATAAATTTTATTTTTGTAGAAAAATTCATTTTATGTCATTTAACAAGTTTTGTTCTTATAGAAGCAAGCTATCCTAGAAACCCTACACTGTAGCGAGGTCGTACAGTTCTATGCAACAGAACTCTCCTCTCTATATAAACATTTTTCCTGTGGGATGACAAAGTGACATCATCATGTCACAGCGTCCACAGGGTAGGGGGTAGACATAGGGTAAAGAACCTCCCACCAGCGGTACCTCTTCCACCACAGGCTCCATCCTGGAGCCAGTCCCCGCCCACTGCCAGCTCAGCCTTCCCTAGCCGCTGGGGGCGAAGACGGGCCTGGTGCAACCTCGGCTCAGAGAGCAGGGCTAGACTGTGGCCAGGGGGACGGAGGGGAGGGAAGACTGGGCTGGACTAGATTGGGGAGGGGGGAGGGCAAGAGAGGAGAAAGGACCCAGGCCGGCATGGGGGGATGGGAAGGGAGGGAAAGGAAGGAAGAAAAGAGAGTGCCTGGAGACAGGAGTGGGAAGGAGAAAGGCCCTGGGGTGGCATGGCCAAGAGAGCAGGGCTAGACTGTGGCCAGGGGGACGGAGGGGAGGGAAGACTGGGCTGGACTAGATTGGGGAGGGGGGAGGGCAAGAGAGGAGAAAGGACCCAGGCCGGCATGGGGGGATGGGAAGGGAGGGAAAGGAAGGAAGAAAAGAGAGTGCCTGGAGACAGGAGTGGGAAGGAGAAAGGCCCTGGGGTGGCATGGCCAGGGGGAGAAGGGGCCCTGGCTGGCATGGCTGCAGCCTGGCCTTCCATGGTCGCAGGGGGGAGAGCTGGGGTTGCCTACCTCCCGAGAGGGGTGTTGGTGAGTGCAGGGGGCACAACCCCCTAGTTATTATTTAAACCCATACTTGCTGCAGCATTCTTTCAAACAAAACCCACCTACTTTTATTATGTGGTCAGCTGCAAACTGCAGCCCCCTAGTTACTTATAATCAATAAGTAAAACAACAGATTGAAATATGGCTTCAAAAGCATTTTAGAAAAAGGTTTGCTGAGAGCAGTCAATGAACAGTCTGGATGTATTCTTTTAGTAAGAAGGCACCAAAGATGGATGGGCCATAGAATGTATTGATTTTTCCTCCTTGAAATATACAACATCTTCTGTTCCAAATAAAGAAAACATCTGGCAGTGAGCAACAACAGCTGTTTACTACATCTAATACTAAATCCCTGAGCAAGCAAAGTAATAGCACAACTGTCTACAGAGTTTAACAATGAAAGGAGTGTGGCTATTGAAAGAACATTTACATGCACAATATTAGGAGCTATA